GATTCCATCATATGTGTATTTGTAATATTGAAGACCGAATGCTCTGTATGTACATAACAAAATCCTCGATCTATGTGTAACAATTAATGGCCTAGACGAGCCAGATTTAAAATGCAATGATAATGGGTGTCTCCTTAAATATTTTGTAATAACATAAGTGAGCTTTGCCATTGGAATGGAGAAAATGAAAAGCCAGCATAAAGTGGAGACAAGGAGAAAGGTTGGTGCTAAAATTTTTTTTTTTTTTTCAATTAGATTTATGATTAGAAATTCTGGATAACAACTACACGCAACTTCGGAGGAATTAACGTTTACATTACCTATAACCAGGAAGAACCAGAAATAAAAGACAAATCCAGCTGGTCCTATTTCGCTCAACCCGCAGAACAAATCATGGTTTTCTCTCTTCATTCTTCGGACATTTCCATAACTCGTTCGCCGTCCCAATAACGGGCGATCCTCATCAATGTGAAGATCATGATCACCAACATGTAATTCACCTTGCTCTTCGTCTTCTCCATCCCAGTCATCCTCCATTCGTTCTACATATTTGCCGAAAGGCCAAAATATGTAATAACTCAATTCTCGCAACACTCGGGAATATTGCCAACCGCCCGATGGTGTCAGAAGTAGAAAGATTGACAAGATGTACGAAATTAGCGCCAACCACCATCCAAATAAGATCGCCCAAACTATATTTCCTGGATACAAGTACAATTCTGATGATGGTATCGAATGCAACGCAGAATTGGCATCACGAATCACCGAACGAGATTTTTTGTACAAGGCAGGTTTCCATAGCGGAAGACCAAATGGATGTGTTATATTAATCGCCTGTAACATAGCAACGATTGAATTTCAAAGTAATTTAACGTTAAATGATACTTTACAATGTGCAGCAAAGTGAAATCCAAGCCTTTAACAAAATTCTCAGATGTTATAAATTGTATGAATCGTTTGATTCTACATGAATCTGATGAAGAGTTTAGTACACTCACATCTTGTCTGTCTTTGAGTGTAAATTCACGATCGCTTCCGCTATACACTATGTCATCTTGATTTGCATCGTCCTCTTCACGACGAGACGAACGATGGCTTTCTCGTTCGTTATCATCCATACTTTCACTAGGGGTAGCGCTTTGCCTGCGATTCCTATGGGATCGAGTTCTCGTAGGCCTTCTTCTGATCTTTCTCCTAGAATTATCGGTATCTTCGTCAGAATCTTCAGGTGTTTCATTCTCCGACACCACGAATGAGGATTTGCGTCGCGTTAACCTTGGTGGTGGTGAATTTCCTCTGGTGCTAACATTTGAGGAAGTTGGGCGGGATCGAGCATGCGAACTCGGTACATTAGCGACTGAAACCCTTGAAGCGGAATTCGATTGATGCCCTTCCTGTCCGGATTTTACGGACGACACCGAAGCTCTATGATCTAACGGTTCCTCATTAGTATAATCGGTTCCAATTGGTTGATTATCGTGATGTTCCCGCGACATAATAAGTAATCTGATTTCGTAGGGAACGGTTGAAGGATGTCCTTAATATATGAAATCCGATAAGGGGCTGTACGACAAAGCTCTGCAGGTTTGTCGATCCCTTAACAACCGTTTATATTACATTATATCAAAAGGAATAATAATTCATTCGTTTTAACTCTAATGCCGTTGAGTTTCCATTTTTGAGCTAGAAAAGAAGCTTTACGTTTACAAACTAATTTGGATCACCAAGATTTTTTATTACAAAGTTCCTTGTTTTTAATAAATTTATACTGCAAACGTATTACAGATATAAGAAATATAAAAAGTTCGTGAATAATCATTGATCCTTTGCCTTCTTGGAAGGTTTCTCGACCTCATTTTCCGCTTTGCGTTTTAGTCCAAATGTTACCTTTGCATGAAAATAAAGTTTTATGGTTTCGTCAAGACAACAATCAAAAGATGAATCATCATCTCGAGAGATCAAATGCGTTATCATTTACCTTTTCTCGCTCGGGTGCATTCATGCTCTGACCAGTTAAACCCCCATTGACGGTGATAATACTGGTACTATTAACAGAAGTGGTTCCGGATGGTACTTTGGAAGAACCCGAAGATTTGGAATCGTAGGTTGGTACCACGCTTGGGGGCACAACACTGAATATATGAATAAATGTGAATAAAGTGGAGATAGACAGGTGACAAGACAATAAAAATGAAATCACGTACGCTCGATTACCAACGGATAACACCACATGTGCACTTCCGCTGGCCTTTTGTCTTTCTTGCAAAGCAGTTGACATGTTTAATGGAGTATCTATACTACTCATTGCTTTCAATTTACGCTCTTCTTCCAACTTTTTGAGACGTTTCTCTGTTTTGGATTTACCAGATGATTTTCCATGGAATTTATGAGACAATTGTCGAAATGCCTATAATGGTTGTCCAAAATAAGCAAATGTTCTAAGCACGAAGTAACATTGTAAAATAATTCCAGACCTCTTTCGGCGTCAATTGATTGCCGAATTCGTCAACGTATTCCAGGTTAATGTCCGGCTTGTAATCTTTGAATCTTGCCTCCATTTCTCTCAAATGTTCACGATCACGATAACTACTCTCGTTATCCCGACCACCTCCGCCACGATATCCTTTTTCTTTAGCACGTTGCTTTTCACGCTCTCTTTCGTTTTGTCTCTCAAGGTCTTTCCTGCGTTGTTCAGCAAGCCACTTTTGCCTTTCCTTCTGTATGCGCTCCTTGTCAAGTTGTTCTTCAGATGGCTTTATAGAAAATCCTATTTCAATAATGATGATGATAATGAGAATTCTGTAGGCTTCGAAATTAAGATTCAATCATGTAATCTCACCTTTTTGCTGTAAAAGGGCCAGTGTCGCTGCCATTCCACTGCTTACCAGTGGTTCCTCTTCTACCACACCGGTCTTAGGATTAAGGGGTGGCATGTCACGAAAAAGTATTATGTTTTAGGATTTCACGAAAATATCATATTAACTCTAACGAATAATCACGGACAAAACTACACTTACAAGCTTCGGTTCCTCCTTAATGTGTACTGTATCTTCATTTTTCATTGCACTTTCGGCTTCCCAGCCACCTTTTTTGTCTTCATCAATAGGATCCTCCATTTTAACATCAACAGTATCCTCAAATTCTTCTTTTCGGTCAACGACCTTTGGAGCAGGTGTCAAACTATCGGTTTCGACGGACCTTGCTATTGATGGGGCCACGGATAATGACCGGACAAATTCCGATGTATCGGAGATCACCAATCCCTCTCCGGAAGGTTCTTCGTCTTCATCGGGTGCCTCTCTAACCTGCGACACTATCCACCATTTTGGCATAATCATTATACATCAACACGCAATCACGCAAATATTAATTAAGAAATAAAATGCATACAAATCTTGGCTATTTCTTCAACTGAACTCTTGTTTACTTTTTTGGCGGCCATATTTCTCGCTCTGGCTAGTGCTTGCTGAAGATCGTCGTCATCAACAAAGCTCATTTCATCAAGATCCTCCACTTTCTTTCTCCTTTGATTAGAGGTCAATGAAGACGTTGACTCTATCTCCATTGCATCAGGATTTTCATTTCCTTCCGTGAAATCATCATTTACAGTCGTCTTTCTAACTTTCTTCTTTTTCTTACTCTAATGCGTATGAACTGA